CACTATAAGATGTTTGGATCATTCCATTATACTATAAGATGTTTGGATCATTCCATTATACTAGAAGATGTTTGAATCATTATACTAGATGATTTTGAAAATGATACACTTTGGTTAGATTTTGTTTCCATTGAATATCGTCCCTGCAGCAAAAATAAATTCCGAGCGAAAATAAAGAATTTTAACAGTATATAACTTTATGTTGCAGGGGAATGAAATGTATCTTCTGAACACAGATCCAAATTTTAATGATATAAAAGATATGTTGGAATATTATTACAGTCACCCACTTCCAACAACAAGCCAGCATCTTACAGAGCCATATCTTGGATGATTGGTTGCCATGCAACAAGCAAATACAATGTACTTTCCGCAGTTGCCATCGGATGTCCTTGTTGCCATGGAGCCTATATCACCATACTAACACTTTTGAATGTGTGAATATGATAAGACTTCTCTTCTTGCCTTTTATGGAAAGATTATTACCTTTTATGGAGAGATTATTACCTTATATGGAAAGATTATTACCTTTTATGGAGAGATTACCTAGAAAAGGAGACGTCTGAAAAGTGCCAGTCATTAGACATTTGGATTGCACATTAGTCTGATTAATACTGGCAATATTCTTTGATGCCACTGTTCCTTCCCATGGAATAAGAGCTTGTTCAGAAAAAAAAACTTTTGTTATTGAATCTTCCTACCAGAAAGTAATTTTTATAAATTAGTTTTCCTGTAAACTCTGATTTTCATGGCTTGTTGAGCTGGAAATGATAAAACTTTGTATATATACAAAGAAATGGGATATTGATTTCACTTTTAGAAAATTCAATAATGCCATGGAAACAGTTTGTTGATTAACTGTCTACTTTCAATAAATCAGTAAATATTCACAGCAATCAGTAATCAAGAAAAGTGAATTTTTAATGAATTATTTCAATATTTTATTCACTGAAACTAATTTTTAATCAAAAAATCTGATAATTCACTATTACTGAATAGTTGCCATGGAAAAAGTTCGTTGATTAATAACTTTATTTTAAATTATCAATGAATTTTTCTTATTTTTAACAATTGGCCACTTAATTATTGGCAGTCAGTTTGTCAACTTAGTTTGTTGTAGATATCAACCATGGTAGTAATGTAACCATGTATGTACAATTCTGATTATGTATTTTTGGACATCCTGCTCCCAGTAGTGGTTGTTTTCCCGCCAACATTTTGGTCCAATATTTTTTCACACTTCTATGTATTATTTTTTTATAGTTTATTGAGCTAAATTTATTACCAAATATGGAAAATATGATGCAGGTTATGATTTTGTGAAAAGTGACTAAAAGTGGCAAAGATTAAAAAAATGTTACAGCTGGTAGAAAGATGATTATTTTTTCATGCCAATTTAGCATACATATAACCAATTATGAGTAGTGTCAACCCTTTCTTCAGTTATTTTGGTATTAAATCCACACCTCCTCGGTGGATGAGTATCTTCAATGACTATTACTGACACTGAGTACCGGTAACAAAAAGTTTTGACAGCATTTTAAAAAGTAGGTTTCCAAAACGTATTTTATGGTTAGCATGGTTTTTTTTTATGAATGATTATTGGTTAGAAATACAATGCATATACTCTTGTTTGAAACACAACCAAGGAGTGTAGATTTATAGTAGAAATGTTCTAGTTTTAGAAGACGGCAAACTGCAGTTATGATGT